CCCAGAGTGCGTTTCTCTTTCCCCCATCCCTCGCTGTCCGTGCTTCCTGCTCTCCTTCTCTCTCTCTGTCTCTCCCTCTCTTTCTCTCTCTCTCTCCTGCTCTTGGTTCTCCTGCGTCTCCCGTTCCACAGCCTTCTCCCTCTCTCTCTATCCCTCCACCCCGCTCCGTTATGTTCCATCCTCCCTCCTTCTCGACTCTCCGTCACGCCTTCCACTCCCCGCATTCCTTATGCGATTCCGACTCCCCCTTCATACTTCTTCCTCGCTTTCATTACTTTCTCATGGATGATCTTCCATCGTTTCCGTTTCTTCTGGGCGTATGGATGGCCCCCTTCTGATTATCTCGGTGGTGTTTGGGAGGTCTTTTCGCCGTTTCCGGCGCGGCCTTGGGGATCGCATAGGTCGTATTGTGTTTTGTTGAGAAGGGTTAAGACGTTGCACGACACGCGGTACCAGACAGATGACGCAGTTCATTTTCTGAATGGAGGCGATTTCCAGAGGGCCCCAGGAGGGCACGCAATGACATCTTTTTCCTTCATCGCATCCCCCCTCCTCCCCGCTGCGGCATTTTCCCTCTTTCCTCCTGGTCTCTCCTTGACGCCTTCCTCTCTCCGCTTCCCGCATGCGTTTCCGTGTCCCCCCTCCCTCATCCTCATCCTTCCTTCACTCCTCCTCCGCCGCCATCACCCAGCATCTTGCCCCGCTAAGTGGTAGGAGGCCCAGCTTGCACAAAAAAACGAAATTCGCTGACAACCTGTTTTTATCCGTAAGGGCTTCGCCCCATGCCGCCGGCCCCCGATGCAAAAGCTAAATAATGAGGTCTGGGCGCCGCCGTGAAGCGGTGTCGGGACCTGTTTGTGTTTCGACCCTGACCCTACGGATCTGCGTCACGGGTGCCGCCGAATTTCAGAAATGTAGCAAATCCCCTGTGTTTTGCGACCGAATGTCAGAAATGTGGCAAATCCCCAGAGTTTTTGCACCCTGACCCCGCCGATCTGCGTGAGGGGTGCCACCGAATGTTGGAAATGTGGCAAATCCTTTGTGTTTGGGGACCCTGACCCCGCCGATCTGCATGAGGGGTGCAAGCTAATTTCAGAAATGTGGCAAATCCCTTGTGTTTTTGGACCCTGACCCCGCCGATCTGCGTGAGGCCCTACAGCCTGGTGGCCCCACAAGGGGGCCGGTGGATTCAAGCTCGTCTCCCCCTCCGTTCCCTTCTGTCCCAGGCTTTGGCGTGCCCCCAAGTGCGTTTCCGTTTTCCTCATCCGTCGCGCCGTTCTATTTGTTCTCTCTCTCTCTCTCTTGTCTTTGGTTGTCCTCCGTCTCCCGTTTCACATCCGTCTCATTCCTTTCCTCCTCCCTCCTCCCCGCTGCGGCATTTTCCCTCCTCCCTCCTCCTCGTCTCTCCTTCAAGCTTTCCTCGTTCCGCATCCCGCGCGATCTTGTGGTTTTCCAACGCTACAAGACAGCCAAAGAGGTTCCCGCGGCGGCCCGAATACGACACAAGAGAGCGCCAAAACGGCCTAAGAGGCCGCCAAGACAGCCCGAAAAGGCATTCAATACGGCCCCAAGACGGGGGCAAGAGCGAGGACCCACACCGACATTTCGAGCCCAGACCCCCGACGCGCCCCCCGCCGAAAGTGCCAAGGGGCCACCAAGAGCACCCAACAAAACGCTGGAGAGGCCCCCCACCCCCCAGAAACCCCCAAGAACCTCCAAGAAGGTCACCCGACGACATTCAAAGGGACACCCTGCATGGTTTCGCCAGGCTCTTAGGGGCTCTCGGGCATACCCCCTTAGGCTATTGGGTCCTCATCGTGGCTGCCTTGCGCGATTTCCTGAAGCCTTATTTGGTGACCCGTGAAGGAAACACGTTTCCATATGGTGATCTTTGCGGGAAGATGTCCATGCTCTTTCTATCGTGTGAGTTTGGCCTGGACGTTGCTTAAACCTAAGCGCGCGCAAAGCGCCCGTGGTTCTATGTGTGTATGTATGCCTGCCTGCCTGCTTGCCTGCCTGCCTGCCTGCCTGCATGCATGCATGCATGCATGCATGCATGCATGTAGGTCTGTATGTATGTATATACGCATGTATGTGTGTATTTATGTCTGAATGCATGCATGTATGTAGGTAGGTAGGTGGGTGGGTGGGTAGGTAGGTAGGTATGCAGGTGTGTATGTGTGTATGGGATGCCATTCAATAAAATGCCATATAGTGTAATGCATTGCTATGCAATGTGTTATAATGTCGTGCAATGAAACACATACACGCCAGGAATACGTGTAATGCGCGTTTGTGCGGATGCATGTATGTATGTATGTATGTGTGTAGGCCTGTCATTCGATATATTCGTATATGGTTGTGTTTATCTATGTGTGTATGTAGGCATTGATGTATGCGTGATGGTGTGCAGTTGTGCATGTTAGGTTACGTATGTATGCATGCACGTATGTTTATATGTATGCATGCATGCATGTACGTATGAACGTTTGTACATGTATGTATGTATGTCTGTGTGTATGTATATGTGCATGGATGTATGATGGCATGTATGTATGCATGTGTGTATGTATGTGTGTACGTATATATATATGTATACATGTATGTATGTACGTCTGCATGCATGTATGTCGGAGGTGAGGGGGTGAGATCGAAGTGGAACGGAGAGCCCCCCTACCGGGAAATCGATTTCGGTTTCGTGTTCGTGCGTGCCGTGCGTGCGGGCGAGGCGAAGCTGCGTGGGCGGGCGAGAGAAAGTCTCCTGTGGCTGAGGCGCGGCCGGACCAAATGTTCTCCTTCCGGGCGGCCGGTGGCGCGCGGTGTCCCGCCGGTGTCCCGCTGGTGTCCCGTCGGTGTCCCTGTGGCTGAGGCGCGGCCGGACCAAATGTGTCTCTTCTGGGCGGCCGGTGGCGCGCGGTGTCCCGCCGGTGTCCCGCCGGTGTCCCGTCGGTGTCCCGTCGGTGTCCCGATGATGATGTTGATGATCATTATGTTGATGATTATGATGATGATGGTGATGATGATGGTGATGATGATGATGTTGATGATGGCGATGATGATGATGTTGATGTTGATGTTGATGATGATGATGATGATGATGATGATGATGATGATGATGATGATGATGATGACGTCGATTGTGAGATCGATTGTGATATCGACAGTGAGACTGGATGTGAGACCGAATGTGAGATCGATTGTGAGATCGATTGTGAGATCGATTGTGAGATCGATAGCGAGATCGGTAGTGATACCGATAGTGAGATCGAATGTGAGATCGAATGTGAGATCGATTGTGAGATCGATTGAGTAAGACGTTGGTTCCCCCTCTCCTGTCACCTCCTTATCACCCGCAGGGTGGTCGTATAGGTATGGATGTATATATGTATGTATGCTTGTATGTGTGAATATACGCATGTGTATGCATGTACGCATTTATGTATGTATGTATGTACGCATGCATGCATGCATGCATGCATGCATGTACGTATGTATGTATGTATGGATGGATGGATGGATGGATGGATGGATGGATGGATGGATGGATGGATGTGTGTGTGTGTACATCTGCATGGCTGTGTGTAGGCGTGTATGCTTGCACGCATGCATGTATGGATGTAGGTTTGCAGACATGTACATATGTACGTGTGCATGCATGTGTATGTGTATGCCTGGCGATCCCCTTATTTCCTCCATCTTCCCGCATGTTCACTCTCCATACCAAATGTCTCCCCTTATATCTCTATTTCTTCCCTTCTCTCTGCAGGTTTCTTTCTTACATTCTTGCATCGTTCCCTTCACACTCTTTCTCTCTCTCTCTCTCTCGCGTTTCTCTTTTCTATCTTCCCTCTTCTGTTTTCATCCCCTCTTTCGTATGCGTGCCCCCACCCCATCCGAATCCCGACCCGCGGGCGCACGAGGCCCGGTGCTGATGCTGGGGGCGGCGACCAACGGGAATTGGGAGGGCGACCGGGGGACATCAACCTTCCACCGACATCCTCCTCGCCGTCGTGCTCCCCCGCTTTCGGCAGCAAGTCATGGGAGCCTGGCGTACCCTGTTAATCCCGTCTCTAGCGTCGATTCGCGTCGAATAGCGTCTGGGAGTCGATGAGATAGCGCCGATATTGCGTCGGTCAGCGTCGACTAGTGTCGATCAGCGTCGACTAGCATCGATTAGCGTCGATTCGCAAGAGCCGACAAGATGGTATTGGAGGCTTCACTGACATCCTCCTCGCCGTCGCGCTCCCCCGCTAGTGCTCGGCGACGAGCGAGGGGGGGAAGTGAGAAGGAGAAGACCCTTTCAGAAGGCGGCAGGGCTTTTCAGAAGCCCCTCCGGCCCTGTGAGAATTTGTTGCCGCGTCTTCGGGAAAGACGCAGAACACTTCTCAGAAGGGCAGGGGACTTCCGAGCCTTCCGAGAAGGTCTCCTCTTTCTCGCCTTCCCCCCCGTCAAGGGCCGCCGAGTTGCGGAGACCAGGCTTTCGACGACATGGTGCTCCTGTCGCCCCCGTCGTGTTCCCTACAGTGAGCGGCTTGAATAAGGAACACTTCCTTTTCAAAAGGGGCTCGGTCGTTCCTCAGGCTTGCATGCGTTATTCTTCATTCCTTAATGCGTTACTTGTTATGCATCGTTCCTTCTGCGTCACTCCTTGGAAAAATAAGGGGCTTCGTTCCATATTTACCGTTCCTTAGGTCAAGGCCCCGACTGTAAGATCTCGGCCGAGGGGGAGGAGGACGAGGAGGAGGAGGAGGAGGAGGAGGAGGAGGAGGAGGAGAGGAGAGGAGGAGGAGGAGGAGGAGGGGAGGATGAAGGAGGAGGAGGGAGGAGGAGGAGGAGGATGAGGAGGAGGAGGAGGAGGAGGAGGAGGAGGAGGAGGAGGAGGAGTTTCGCCCTCTGGAGCCCGTGGTCGGGGCGTCCCCGGGGTCCGGACGCTGCAGTCGTTTCACGCCGGGCGCTGTCGCCCGGCTTCGGGCCCCACTGCAGGGCCATCACGCGCCGACCCGGCTCGAACAGTGCAGGAGAGAGGATGGGCCTCTTTTCCACCACCAGATTTATAAGGTGGAGGGGGAAGGGGGTCCTCCTCCTCCTCCTAGCTCCTCCTCCTCCTCCTCCTCCTCCTCCTCCTCCTGTCCTCCTCCCCCCTTCTAATCCTCCTCCTCCTCCTCCTCCTCCTCCTCCTCCTCCTCCTCCTCCTCCTCCTTCTCCCCTTCGTCCTTCTCCTCCGCCTCCTCCTCCTCCTCCTCCTCTTCCTCTTCCTCCTCCTTCTCCTCCTTCTCCTCCTCCTCCTCCTCCTCCCCCTCCAACTTATGGTGGCGGTGGTGGAAGACACGCCCATCGAGAAAGATTGGATCCAGGGCTCCAGTGGTGATCTTTCGCGAGGATGCCGCATTGCAGGGCTGCGACGATCAGAGCCGGAGCTGGGACGAACAACGACCCGGGGGCGAGCGGTCAGGACCCCCGGGGGCTGCACATTGACCACTCACATCGTCGGACGTTTGGGAGTGCAGTCGAGCTGAGGTGTAAGATCGAGGTCGGTTCGGGGAGGGTCTCCCTCGTGCGCTTCGTGTCTGTTGGACGCTCCTGTGCATCCTGGGGAGGGTACCCTTGGAGGGTCTGCTTGTTTTTTCGCCGACGGAGGGCCTCATGCTCTTGAGGGGCGTTTGCTTCCGTCCCGGGTCCGACTGTACGGCTCCCGAGGGAAAGGGGTCCCGAGGTTTGTAGCCGCCTTCGGCGCCCCTGCGCCCTCCCGGGCCCTGGGCCCCTTCAGCAACGACGCAGGATGAGAAGCAAGCGTCTTCTGCGTACGCCTCACCGGTTCAATCTCCAGCCTCCCCCGCCCTGGAGCCGGCCCCCCCCCCTCCCCCCTTGAGAATCCCCTCCCCTTCCTCTCTGGAGCCCCTCCCGCCCCCCCCCCCCTCCACTCCGGAAGTCGGAGGCGAGGGCGGGTTGGAATGCGTCACTCCCGCCCCCTCGCCGTGTCGCCGTCGTTTGTCTCAAGCAGTGGCGAAGCGTCCCGGCTTGCCTATAGGCCCGCGAAAGAATGTTCCGAGAACCTTTCGTGCTGTGCACGAAATGTTCTTAGAACATGTCTGGTCGAGTCTGTCCTGTTTTAACACATCGGGCTTATGTTCTAAGAACATCGTTCTTGTTCTTCGAACATGTCTCACAATCTAAGAACATGCTGTGGTAGGCCTATAGTCGGGACGGACGAAAGGGGGGGATTGGGAAAGGGGGGGTTACGGAATTTGCTGCATGCAGCTGGTTTCGGCCCCACCGAGGGGCCCATTCCTCGATACATGGTCGCCTCCGGCGCCGGGAGGCGCCGGGAAAATCAGCTACGCGAGCTGATTCTCAAACCCCCCCTTTGCTATCCCCCCCTTTCGCCCGACCCGATGTAGGCCTATAGGAACGCGGGGACGGTCGGTCCCTGCTCAATTGTCCACGCATGGCGTCGGCCGGGCGGGCGGGGCACGTCGTCGACGCCGTCGGGCGGCGAGGCCGCCGTCGCCATCCGCCGGCGCCGAGGAGACCCGCGGCCCAGGACGCGCCTGCATGTTTTGGACCCCCCTCGCTCATGCCAACTCATCCTCCTCCTCCTCCTCCTCCTCCTCCTCCTCCTCCTCCTCCTCCGCCTCCTCCTCCTCCTCCTCCTCCTCCCCCTCCTCCCCCTCCTCCTCCTCCGCCTTCTTCTCCTTTCCTCCTCCTCCTCCTCCTCCTCCTCGTCGTGCGCGCACAAGGGGGTAGGGCGAGGGGGGAAGGCCCTTCTTAGAAGCAGGAGGCTTCCTAGGAGGCGCCAGCCCTACATCGATGAAGAAGGCCAAAGCCTTGTAAGAAGCGGGGGTGCTTCTGAGAAGCCTTCCGCCGTCCCCCCACCCTCCCCCGCGCGCCGCCAACTTCCGTCGCCAGGGCCGGCGAGACGTTCCCCAGGGAAGCGGTCGGGATCTTCCTGGGGCCGCGCGCTGGGAACACGCCAGATCGTCGGATGTCTGGGGCTGTCGTCGTCGAGTGGAGAGGGGGGGCACCGACTGGTACGCGCTGAGGTCGCGATCGGAGGATCCCCCTAGGGAAGCAGTCGGGACCCTCCTGGGGCCGGGCGCGGAGGAAAAGATCACACACTGTGCCGAATGCCTGGGGAGGTCAAGGAGTGCAGTCGCGGTCGTCCCCCTCCTCCTCTCCTCCTCCTCCTCCTCCTCCTCCTCCCCCTCTTCCTCCTTTCCTCCTCCTCCTCCTCCTCCTCCTCCTCCTCCTCCTCCTCCTCCTCCTCCTCCTCCTCCTCCTCCTCCTCCTGGGAGGGGACGAAAGCAAGCGACTTCGTCTACGAGCCGCCGGTCGCGCATGGCACGCTTCTGGAGTTACACGTGTGTCAGCATTCGCAGCAGAAGCGATCGCATTCAATGAGGCCTCCCAGGGAGCAGCGGCCCACTCAGTTAGGATCAGGAGCGGCAGGGTGGGCGGGGGGGGGGGAGGAGTGGGGGGGGAGCAACGAGGGGGGGAGGTCGAGGGCGAGGGGGCGAGGGGGGGAGGACGAGGGGGAGGAGAGAGGGAGGGAGGGAAGGAGGGAGGGAGGAGAGATGGACGACGCGGAGGGACGTTCGACGAACTATCGAGGCCAACGGGCCCGCCACGCCTCTCTCCCCTCCTCGGGCGGCGGCGCAGGGGGTGCCCTCGGAGAGGCCGGCTGCGCTCTGCTGCTGCTCTCTTCTTCGGCCCGCGCCCCCGCTGAGGCCCCGCGACCCCTTCCCTGTGGGGGAGGGGGGGGGGGGGCACTCTCCCAGGCCTCCAATGGTGCCTCCTGGACGGGGCCAGAGTAGGTGGGGCCTCCTCCTACCTCGGATCCGCCTCCGCCTCCTCCTCTCCTCCTCCTCCTCTCTCTCCTCCTCTCCTCCTCCTCCTCCTCCTCCTCCTCCTCCTCCTCCTCCTCCTCCTCCTCCTCCTCCTCCTCCTCTCCTCCTCTCCTCCTCCTCCCCTCCCCCTCCTCCTCCTCCTCCCTCCTCCTCCTCTCCTCCTCCCCCTCCTCTCCTCCTCCCCTCCTCCTCCTCCCTCCTCCTCCTCTCCTCCTCCTCCTCCTCCTCTCCTCCTCCTCCTCCTCCTCTCCTCCTCCTCCTCCTCCTCTCCTCCTCCTCCTCCCCCCCCTTCTCCTCCTCCTCCTCCTCCTCCCCCCCCTCCTCCTCCTCCCCTCCTCCTCCTCCTCCTCCTCCTCCTCCTCCTCCTCCTCCTCCTCCTTCTCCTCGCGCCGCATCGCCGATGCATCGACGGTGCGGCTCGATGCGGAGCACGATTGTCTCCGTGCGTCGCCGACGTCGGCGATGCATCGCCGATGCACTGGCGATGCAGAGGCCCCGCGACCCCTTCCCTGGGGGGGTACTTTCCCAGACATGGTCGCGTCGTAACCAAGTCACGACGACCAGGTCGGGCCAGTTTCGGCCTCTGGGGGCCCTCGCCGCGCCGCGGGACCGTCCAAAAACGATCCAGGAGGAAACACCGGTCCCGGGGAAAGGGTCGGGACTGCCGGGGACCGCGTATTGAAAAAGCCGGGACGCCGCATGTCTAGGTTCTGCAGGCCTCCAATTGACGATTTTCTTGGTGGCTCCACTATAACATCTGTTCGCAGTTTCCGGCCTCGGGGGTCCTTCGCCAGTAGCCAGGCCGTCAAGCAGAACGACTCGGGACCCATAACCGGCCGGTCGGGACTTTGGGGGATTCCGCATTGAAAACGTCAAGACATTAGATATTTGGGATTTCGCCCCGGATCAAGTGTAGACGGGTCCCAGGTCCCGAAGGCGACCCCCAGAGGCCGAATTTGAGAAGAAGCGCGGAGACCGAACGCCTCAATGCAATGCTTTGGACATCTGGGTCTGAGCGCACCCCCCCCTGAGATCCAGCGTCACGAAAAAGGCAGCAGCGTAAAACAACTCGAGTCGAGCCCTCGACCCCGGCTTTTTCCGGCGCTGTTCGAGCAGGATCGATTTGTGAAGTTCCCAGGGCCCGGAGGAGGGCAAAAATAACAAATACCCAAAACATGCCCCCAAAAGGTCAAACAATATTGAAAACAAGTTGTCCCCAGGCTATGTTTGGACTATTTTTTATTATTTTTAGGGTATTCTTTATTTTTCGTCGAAAATCCCCCTGTGGGGGGACAGGCCCGACTTAAACGTAGCGACGCCAGGCCCTCAGGGTCGGCCCCCTGCCCCCGGGTTTTCGGGGCTGTCGCTCGGCTCTCCGGCGGCCGCCGGGGACGAGACCCGCGCACCCGAGCGCTCTTGGCGAGGCGCAGCCGTTGGATCGCCTCCCGAGGCTGGAGAACCTCACCAGCCACGAACGTACGGTAGGTTCGTGTCGTGTCGACCGGCGGCGACCCCAGCGTGGGCGTTCAAGGTTGAACGCCGCCGGCGACCCAGAATCGATCGATGTTGAACGATTGGACGTTGCGGAGACGGCCGATCGTTCAAGGTTGAACGATCCCTGCGGTGTCAAAAACCAACGCTGGGGTCGGCACGACACGAACCCGCCGTATCCCTATCCCTAAGATTGACACGCCAAAAGGCGATGACAATCTTAGGGATTCGCCCTCAAAAAATAAGGGAATCCCTAAGGTTGGCATCGTGATGAGGAGGTGCCCAGCATAGGGATAGGGATCTGTTCCAGGCTGGTAAGAACCGCCGAGAGTCAGCGAAGACCACCGAAAACCTCGAGCCGACAGCACTGGCGACGCCAGGGTCCACTGGTCCTGGGAAGCCGCCGAGAGGCGGCGAACTTCTCGGGAGCCTAGAGGCGACAGAACCTGCGACGTCAGGCTCCACTGGCCCGGGGCCCAGGACATCGCCCATGGCAGGGCTCGGAAGCGGCCGAGAGAGGTGCGATGGAGGGAGGAGGGAGGAGGGAGGAGGGAGGGGGGAGGAGGGAGGAGGGAGGAGGGAGGAGGAGGGAGGAGGGAGGAGAGAGGAGGGAGGAGGGAGGAGGAGGGGGAGGGAGGAGGAGGAGGGAGGAGGGAGGAGGAGGAGGGAGGAGGGAGGAGGGAGGAGGGAGGAGGAGGAGGAGGAGGAGGAGGAGGAGGAGGAAGAGGAGGAGGAGGAGGAGGACGTGTTGATGCTGTGTTCCATGGGTGGGCGATCCCCGCCCTAGAAAGCCTATGCCAAGGCCCGCTGGCAAACCAAGGCCCCGCTGCTCTTGGAGCGCGCTCGCGACGGGCGCGCATCGAGGTCCAGTGGCCTGGGCCACGAAGTCTCCCCGGATGTCACGGCCCCCTCCTCTTGCGGTCGGACCGAGTGGCAAGAGGTCGAGGTCGGTGCGGGGTGGTTGCCCGGGAGTTCTCTGTTTTTGTTGGCTGTTCTGGTGCATCCTGGGGCAGGGTGCCCTCGAATGCTCTCCGTTTTGGCCTGCGGAGGGTATCGTGGTCTTGAAGGGAGGTTCTGCTTTCCTAGGTCCGGCAGTATTTCAATGCGTTCCCTGCCACCCCCCTGCTCCGCGCACATGCCTCGGGCCATGATTCTCGAAGCCCCCTTTTGGACGCCCTCCTCCTCGTCGCCCTCCTCCTCGTCGTCGTCGTCGTCCCTCACTCCAACGTCGTCATCTCTGTCGCCCTCGCGCTCATGAGTCACACGGGGATCCAAAGTGCATCCCGGGCCCCAGCCCGACCGCCGTCCTCTCATAGGGCCGTCCCTCTGGACGCATGTCGGCGCCTCTTCTCTCCTCTCCTCTCCTCGCCTCTCCTCTTCTCCCCTCCCCTCTCCTCCCCTCTCTTGGACTCCAGGCCTCCCAGCTGGAGTCCGAGCGCACGAGGTCGGAGGATCGCGCCGCGCCGCCGTCAGATGTCGGCGAGGCGGCTCGATGTGGATATCCCGCTTTGCTTGGCGCCGACGGCACCGAGGCACCGCCGACGGCAACGATTCCATCGCCGCTGCATCGCCGATGCATCGCCGATACGGCGCGAGGAGGAGGAGGAGGAGGAGGAGGAGGAGGCGGAGGAGGAGGAGGAGGGCGAGGAGGAGGAGGAGGAGGAGGAGGAGGAGGAGGAGGGAGGAGGAGGAGGAGAAGAGGAGGATCAGGATCAGGAGGAGGAGGAGGCGGAGGCGGATCCGAGGTCGGCTCGGGGAGGGTACCCTGATATTTGTCGTTTCTGTTGGACGTTCTTGTCCATCCTGGGGAGGGCACTCTTGGACTTAGCTGTTCTCGGTGCGGGGAGGTTGCCCTGATTTTCTTCGTGTCTGTTGCACGTTCTGGTGCACCCTGGGGAGGATACCCTCGGATGCTCTCTGCGTTTGGGACGGTGGAGGGTCTCGTGTCCTTGAGGGATGCTCTTCTGGCCCAGGTCTGACTGCTGGAGGTCGACGACAGAGAGTTGCTTTATCCCGAACTTGATTCTTGTTTGTCGAGCCTGCCATACATGCGCATGATGCCACGCCGCTCTGCAACACCTTTGCATGTCTGTCGCAGGTTCGACAACGAGAACCAATGTGAGTCAAGGGCGTAAAAAACGCCTCTACCCTGGTTTATGAGGCGCTGTGCGC